CTGCTGACACAGATTTTTTCACAGAGGCTTTCCCTGACAAAACACAAGCATGTCCTTCTAGAGGCCATGCATTCCCACAGTAATAATATAATCACGCTTTTTGACCAATTCTGTACCAAATACCTCACTGTGTACATCACATTAAGGTTAATGTACCAGGTGCAAGTGCTTCTTTAGAGGGAACTGGATGCCCCTGACTAGTTCCAACTTTTAAAATGAAACGACAGCTTGACCAAAAACACTGATAATTTGTTCAAACACTTAAAACATCCCGTGTTTTCCCTGCTTGTATGAATAATGACCGTACTCTGAAACAAAGGCAGAATTAGCAGGACATTATTTTAGTGCTGTGAAATCTTTTACAGTGTGTCTACACAGAAGGCATTTTTCAGTTATCTGTGTTATGCGCATTTGAGGGAACAGATACACTTCTAGTTCAATTGATCCAGCTGGTTTGTAACGGCTTACGTTTTACTCATGGTAAATTTAGCCTGAATTTTTATACTTCTAGTCTGTTTTCCTGTGTTTATTCACATAACTACAGTGTTTGTGAGTTAGGCTCAGTCCACCTGTGTAGATACATACAGCTGCTGGTCTGGTGATGTGTTGTGCTTTGCTGTCTGTGCAGACAAAGTGTTAACAGACAATCAGACTGATCTGGTATAAACGCAACAACCAACGTAATGGGCTACGTTGGTCAGGGGGTGTAGGCATGTACACTCTGGCCACATTGTGATGAGATGACATGAGGGGCTTCATTCATGTTTCCACTCTGGGAGTCTCTATTGTGTTTTGATTAACCATGCTGCTAACGTAGCCTATGCTACCTTAGCCGATTCTTCTTTTTTGGTTATTTTTCAGGCTTTTAGCCTTTATTTTACAGTAGGTAGCAGAGAGGTGGACAGGAAACAGACCTGCGAAGAGTGTTGGTGGTTGGAGTCGAACCACCAATGGCGAGCATGCAGTGTGCCACCCAGGGTACATGGTGTGTGGCGCCACAACGGCTTGGCTACAGGGTGCCTCTGTTTAGTGCCAATTCTAACGTCACCACCAATGTGTCGGCATTGATAGCTAAAAAACACTACTAAACATTCATTAACAATGAAAATGCATGGCGTATCATTATGGCACATTAAATGTGAATCGCAGTGAATTCTCATGCTAGCAAGGTAAACAAAAGTATCTTCCTGTGGGCATCCATGTCCTGATTGTCCCCCATGCATGATTGGTCAATGCAACGCCTCTGCAGGATGATGTCATCGCATGGTGCGGTGAACATTGACCCAGATCCAACTATTTTTTTGCCTCACAGGGTTGCGTCATTTTGCCAGGCCCCTCTGCAGCGCCGCCTGCAATGAACGCAATCCCCCATAGAAATGAATGGAGACCATTGAGGCTCGGTCCGAACGTGGCCTTAAGGTGAAGGCTGAGGTGAATGACTGCACTGCACAGTGTCTCCACACCGGCTACCGTGGCGCCCACCCTATCTCTTATTAAAAGTCACTGTTGGTGCACTGTTCTTTAATGTCTACAGCATTCAGTAGTGGTTTCTTTAAACCGTGATCATTGCCTGCTCTGACAAACTCCAGAGCAGGCAATGATCATAAATCTACTTTGTAGTTTAGATATGAGGTTTTGTTGAAACTGAAAGAGCAGAACTCACAAAGCTCCCCAATTAATACCCTGTCCTCACTTCCTCAGTTTAACTCTGCAGGCTGACTCAGTTTTGACATGTGTTTGCCTAAGATATCAACATAAACCCTGAGGTCAGTGTACTGACAGACTACTAGGACTGACAGGAGTTTTGCCTGTAAAACCTGTAGTCTGTTTTATATCAACCACTATTAAGTACTTGTACAGTTATGTGGCCAAGTTATATATCAACCTGTTGAAATTTAGGCCCTGATATCATAAAATAATGCAGGAAGAAGCGTTTTCACTTCACTTTGTCACTACATTTGAACAGTTGTATTGTTGTCAAAATGAGTGTCCTCATAAGGACCCGATTTTGATCTTACAAAAAACTTATTTGACCTCCTTTTCTCTCTTTTATGTCCATGCCAACTGGAAGCTAAAGTTTACTCAACCTTTATATCAACCTGCCTTAGTGGCTTAACATTACAGAGGTATGCATGCCATTGGACTCTGCAGCACCGCCCTATTCCTTTACAGTGCTGGGCTGCTGTGCTAGCTGGTAGTACTGTAGACAGGATATTAGAAAAGGGGTCATTTTTTCAACTTATTTAGGGGACTGTCTAGAAGGACCACAATCTGTCATTTAGCTGCTTATTTTCCAGAAGCATGCCCCATCCTCTGGAGGGAAGTACCGTCCCAGAACTGGACCAGAGCTTCATGGAGCCTCCATCTGGGCTAGCCCTTCTGTCTGGTCCTGACTCTTTGTAAAATGGTCAGCTACAGTGTCATTGAATGTAAAGGGACCTCCCTGGTTTGCCTCCAATAGCTGGTTTCTGCAGCTTGATCCTTGAAGCGTCTAAATAAAGAATTCCTCAGCGACTGAACATTGATTCATTGATGTTCAAAAAAAGAGAAAGGCTCAGAGTAGATGCCATGCTTTCTGACGGGTTAGTGCATGTTTTAGTTTTCACGGCACAGAGTTTTGGGATATGGGGTGAGCGCTAAAAATACCTCATGGGCCACATTCCGTCGTCAGCAGAGAACCAAACAGTTCTTTAATGTAAGTAGGGTAGCTCCCCTAGGCCCAGCCAACCACTGGTGGTGTGATCCATATTTTATTAATAGCAGGATGGTGGAGAGCTCTTCTGATTGATACCATGGTTTATTGGGAGTTCAGCAGCCCAGCTAGGTGGGACTGAGGGCCTCCGGGAGTCGCAGACATGTAGAAACCCTTAAAGACCTATTTTTTCCACCCTGGTTATGGTTGTTGTTTACAAGTCAGACTCAAGCTGGACTACAAGCAGTTCCTCTCAGCCTCCAAGTGGTTTATATTAGCCCTACAGAAACAAGGATTTGGCCATCCCTTGTGTAATATTCATGAGAACAAAAGAAGGGGCCGAAGAGTGATGGGAGAAGGAAATGGGGAAGGGAGAGCAAGAGGCTGATGTGGGATGTCTGGGAAAAAGAGGACAAATTGATGCAAAAGAGGATTCTAGGACAGCCAGGGTGGTATAGACAGGGAGGGTGGTGCTGTTTGAAGAAGCAAAGGAACATGGGAATTAGAGTAGTTTAGTTTGAGGCAAAGAGTGGGTCTATGTGGAGACAACCTTGATGAGAAAGAGAGAGAAGGCACATTGAGAAAATAAGACTCGAGTCAACGATAAAACATCCATAACGTCTGACAATCACAGAAAAAAAAAATGTGACCGACAGATTCACAAGGAACCTGTGTGACAATGACAGTGACAGCTTGTATGACAGGAAGAGGAGGAATAGGAGGACAGAGAGTTTCAAAAGCCCCCCCATCTCCTCAGCACATAGAAACCACAGAGGGGAGGGGGAAGGGGAGGGGGAGGTGGGGAGTGTTGGGAGGATGGTAGAAATCATCAGCTTGTAGGGAGGAAGGGGTTCCTATATTACTACATGGGCTATTCATTGAGGTGCACTAGCTGAGACGGGACTGATATACACTATATGACAGGTTGTTTTTGGCAGTAGTATGGTTGTACATCAGGCTTATGAACCACTACATGGTGACTTTGTCCTTTTTACACTAGTTATTTCACCTCTAGTTTGTCTGAGAAGACATTAGTCAAACTCAGGTGTCGACAAATCTGGCTGGTCTGATTGTTTCTGGTTTCTAAACCAGCCCTGCAGCGCTTTGTTTAGATTTGGACTGAGGGTTTTAAAATACCCTCAGGTTCAGCATGGAAGTATCAAAGAGCTTCAGACTGGCTTACGGTGCAGCTAAACTGGAGCGGCAGGGAAGGTGAAGGATATGAATGGAGGTTAGGAGGTCGGAGGAGGAGGGGGGGATGATCAGGGGCTGAAGCTGAGAGAGCAAGAGGGGGAGAAAAAAGAGAGAGGGAAAAGATATATAGAGCGAAAAGGAGAAGCAGGTATTCACAGTGGCCACAACCGCCTCAAGATGTCGCTCCAGTTCATTTACTTTAACTTGACTCTGTCAAAACCTTGAGGGAAATCTTGTTTCCCATGAAGAAGCTGGGTGAAAGGAGGATCTGATCCAATGCTTTGAGTGCAGAAAGAATGAAATATACAGTAAAAGCTCAGTTTCTCTGTCCAGGTCAGAGATAATGTCACTATTCCCTGTGGATTTCTGATTCACTCAGGAAATGTGGGCCGTAACAAACAAGGCAGTGCAAGAATATTTGGTTTATACTTCAGCGACTGATCCCGCCATGCTAAAGACAACACTGGTTGCACCATAAAAGTAAGCACGCAGGAACAGAAAGCTACAATATGCAGGACAGAGCACCCGCATAAAAGAGCAGATCTGATTTTGTAGTTAACAGACAAATGTCAATCGGACAAAACTGAAGTCTTGATTTTTGTTCTACTTATTTGTGGTGTCAGAGCAGTTTAAAACGTATCTCCTGAAGTTTTTACCTACAGTAAATATTGGTCGTGTCAGCTCAGGAAAAATCAAAGACAATGAAAGAACGATGTTTGAGAACAGACAAATGAGCTGTTGATTGTGTAAGTAGGAACAAATGCAACAAATGGTTGCAATTTGCTTTTAAAGTCGGTTTTCCATCAGATTTTTTAAAGAAATAAAATAAATAGATATATCCCTAGTGTTTTTTAGGTAACACTAATGAGCCCAGGTGTATTAGCTCTTATTTTATTCTTTATATGATTTATACTCTCAGACAACCACTGGCTCAGATGCCCTCTTCAACCAGCCTGGTCTTGTCATGAGGTAAATACTTCCTCCAGGTCTTTGAGTTTGAGTCATGAGACAAATTGACATAATGAACTGCAGCAGCTGCTTGAGGCCGTTCAGGCAGTAATATTCACATGAGGAGCATTAAGTGTGGATGGGAGTGAGTCGGAGCGACACACACCTCTGCTGAGTCCGTCGGGCCCCCGGAGGATCCGGCACTCTTCAATCTGCCCGAACGCAGAGAACATGACCCGGATGTCATTCTCATTGCACTTCTTCGACACCATGCCGATGAACAACTTCCTGTCTTCCACTGCTGCAGGGCCAAAAAGAAAAAATGTGAATGAATCGGCAGACATAACTGCTGCATATTAATTGTTGATTTTTCAACAAAAGCTGGTGAGAAGATTGAGCCTAGCAAGACACAGCCAGGCTAGCTGTTCCCCCTGTCTCCAGTCTCTGTGCTAAACTAAGCTAACTGTCAACCGGTCAACCTCATCTACCTCTCAGCAAGAAAGCAGATTCGCACATTTTCTAAAATCCTGATTTATTCCTTTAATTTATTTTGTGTATTGTATGGAGTTTGCCAGAGCACAAGTTTACCACTCGAAACCAATATTTCTACAGCCTATAACAATGCCAATAAGTCAAGAAATAGGGAAGGAGAACAACCGTTGTTAAGAACAAAGAGAAAGAAAGATGAAACGAAAAGAAAACAGACAAACAAAAATGCAAAGAGACAGAACAAAACACACGGATCAGAAGAAACGATCATAGGAAAGGAAAGGAAGTGGGAGAGAGATGAAGACGGACAGAGATCATGTATTTCATCATGCCATCTGCAAGGCTCTGATCAATGTCTCATTATCACTTCAACACTGACGGCTTGCCGAGACTCTCCAGCTTGTCCTCTCTCACCCTCTTCCTCCTCTGTCCTCCTTTCTCCCCCATGGCTCCCTCTCTTTCTCCTCCCATGACACCATCCCTCCCTCTCAGCTGCAGCCTGGAGGACTGGGAGCCAGCTGCAGGTAAAGGTGGGAGACTCAGGCTGTTTCAGCATGTGAGTGAGATTAAGCATGAATTAGGCTCGGAGCAAAATCTTCATCGCTTGCAGAAACAATATGTGTGCTTCCCCCACATTCAATGTAATGCTAATCCAATTCATTTTTAATGAGGAAACTGTCAGCTCTTACCGCGAGGCGAAAGAGATAAGCGGTCTGTTGCACTCTGGGAAATCAATAGCGCACTTGTTTGTTTTGCTGTTTGAATTGTTTGTGTGTTTAAAAACGAACCGTCGGGATACGCTGCCAAGATAAGTGTTGTTTCAAAAAGCTTTAACTCCTTTGTACACAGCCTGTGCGTGTGTCTGCGCACATCACTCCAGAGGAAGATTACCACAAGTCTAACAGCAATGTAATTAATTTACTCTGTGTCGATAGAAAAGAAAGAGAGGAGATATAGTTACAATTGACTGTTTCTGTTTTTCGGACGAGGCGCACAGGCAGGCGGGTGGGTGATAAGACTCAGAAAGCCGGCTCTGGAGTCAGCTTTGTGTTCTGGGATAAAGTGGGGCAGAATTGGCTTCATGCTGAGTTTTCACATTAATAAAAAAAAAAAGAATCACAAAGGTTTGGTGAATAGAAAAAACTGCACAAGATTTACAAGATTTACCAATAATAGTTATCGCTGTGTTATTCTGTCTCCATCTCTTTTTCTTGTTCCATCTCCTCCACTGACTAAACTAATAAACCTCTGAGCAGCCATTCATCACTGTTACAGCGACTCCATCACTGGGTTTATTAAAGGACATTACCATTAAGTGGATGGACATGTTACGTATGGTCTGCTCTGTATTTCAACATTCTGGCTGCGAGTAGTGGCTGCTTTATTAAGTTCCACCATCGTTACCCCGACAGTTATGTCTTATAAAGTCATATTTTGCTATATTTCACTGGAGCGAATGATGGCTGTTATAAGGATTTCTCCCCTGACTTGCTGGATACTGTCATTTTAGTATGTTCCCCTGCAGTGGACAGTGATGCAGCTGGCTTATGACGCCACTCCGTCGTCTGTGTGTCAGCCAGAGGGACTCCTCTGTGGTGTAGAGCTATAGCCTGTACTCTACCTGTGTACAAAAACTCACCAGCCACTTTATTAGGTACACCTGTACCCAGCTATGTATGGGATGGTGGACCCAGCTTGTGACTCTCTTCTGTTACATACACTGGAGTCACAGAGATAATCTTCCATTAACATGCGTGGTTGAGACTTGCTGACCGTTTTAACCCCGTACCATTGTTTCATAATACTCACCCTCATTCTGAAGGTATTTCCTGAATCCTCATAGACTCTTCTAACGATGTGGAAAAGCCGCAGCTTCTTGTGGAAAAGAATTTCTTTTTCAGAAAAGTAGAGATGGAGACAAGAAATGATGGCGTCTCTTTTGCTTTTCCTGTCACCATATTTGTTTTAGACTGGAATGAATGACTATATGAGTGTATGTACTACACATAGTATAGATACCAGCTTTCACCCCCCCCCCCCATTATATAGTGAATAAAACAAATGGTACATAGAAAGTATAGCAGTGATTTGTATATTAAATAGAGTTGACCAGATATTTAGTTTCAAAAGACATAGCCGCTATTATGTAGTGTGAGATGAATAAAACAAAAATGAACATACAGCTAAAACAGAGTAGTGATTTTGCACATTTTTGACCCATGGGGAACATGAGACAA